TGATCAATCAATTAATTTTTAAATAATTGTATATTTAACAACCTAATGGACATAGCTTTCTTAATTTCACATCCCACGTTCCAGCAAGAAAATTTAAAACTGTGCGTATCTCTTCTGTTAGAGAATATGGATACCCTCTGGATTTGATTTTCAATAAGATGAATATTAGATTAAAAAAAACTAATAGACACCAGATAAAATCCAGTACAGTAAAAGAAACAGACGAACACAGCACCACAATGGAGGCAACAAGTGATAGGAGAAAATTCTTAGTACTTCCATACATTAAAAACATCTCAGAAATCGTAACATCGATCATTGATAAGAATGAATATACAATAGGATATAGAGTACTCAATAAGACGGATATGTTCGTCAGGGTTTACAAAGATAAGAATTTGACCATGAAAAACAACAACGTGGTCTATAAAATCGCTTGTAACGACTGTGAAGCATTTTATGTGGGACAAACCAAAAGACAGCTCGGTTCTAGATTAAAAAAACATAAAAATAACATTAAACTTAGACCCGACAAAATACTCAGTTACAGAACACATTTTAGAATCTGGACACTCCTATATAATATTTTGAAATAACATAAAAGTGCTTGACACCGAATATAACTGTTACGAAAGACTTATTTCAGAATTGCTGCATATTAAAGAGCAAAAGCATGGGTTAATTAAATTCTATCAAGGATTTGGACATGCTAGACAATTCTTACTTTGCGATACTTAACGAACTGACAGATATGTAAACACACCTTATAAACAATTTTGTACCGTTCACCCTACGGGGGAGGAAAAAACTCGAATATCGAATATATACACGCGAAGTTCCCGAAACGGTAACACATGTCGTCTCGCACAACCAGACAGTCAGACTGTACGTATGTCAGTCGTATTACCGTTACTCTACATCGGCCAAATTATCACCGAAGATCCTTGTAAGTTACTGGACACAATAATATATCATATTACAACCGTAATGATACCGACATATATTAGGAGATATTGGATCGGCGTTGTGTCTGCACATTTAAAACGTTTCGAAATCGACACGGAGGTGAGAAGGCTTCTCTGAAGAAGATTTCTCAGAACAGCGACACAAATGACAATTGATCCCAATTCCACACAAAAAGGAAAAGATGCTCGATATAAGGAAACCATTGCGTGCGCTATTAGTATGTATGCGTTTAATCTCTCGCACTACTACAGCGGTAGTTGAAACGGACATATTCGTACAGGATTCATTGCTTTAAGTTTTGATATATTCTTTTTATGTTAGTTAACTTTAACGTCTCAGTATTAATTTATTATGTCCGGTTTTTTATGTTATTTATTTTTTACTTACATTTTACTTATTGACTTTTTATATCTTCAACTGAAGAAGACTCTGTGAGTCGAACCGTATATTGATTTTAATTCCTCGACATTAAACTATCTATTTAATTAACTTGAGTTTTTAGTGATTCCATGTTACTTTTACCTTCGCTCATCCTTGGCCGATTTATCTTATATATTTGTGTTAAAACACGAGCTAGACATTTTAATTAATTTGTATATTTAAATTATAAAAAAAATTGTTCTTGTTAATTTTAGAAAGAATGTAAGTGATAATTTTTATGTATTTGGCGTATATTTTTTCTTTTTTTAAAAAGATTTTTTATGGGATTGGATATATCTATTGGAGAAAACAATAGTCACAGTTTAATATAATATTATCATTTCTCTTTTCTATCACTTTGCACATTTTTCAAATAATATAGCTGATATGCGAATCGAATATTGATGTCTTATTTTCATCAACACGAAAAGTATGTAACTAATTTTAGAAAATTCAAAAAATTCGATTATTACACTAGCTCTTCTTATAATATCCTTTTATAAAAAGAAAGATTTTAATTATATATTTTAAAAATGCAAATGCTCAAATATACTGATCTAAAAAATTAAACAAGACGTAAGGGCTATCAGGAGTCAGCGCGGTAAGTAGTGGCAAATTATAACAATAATTTAGACGTAATTCAAACAATATATAATTTTAATAAAAATACATAGGTTTAAACAGACTTCGTTTCGGCTTAATTATAATTTGCGCACCACTTACCGCGCTGACTTCTGATAGCCCTTATGTCTTATTTAATATTTTTTTGTATAAAGAGGAGATCAAATCCTTGCTAATTATTATTTAATTTATATTAATCTAAATTGGGAATCAAGACGGGAATCAAGGCGGCGAATTAATGCCGTTATTTGACAAGAGATGCAGATAAATCCAGCCACAACTTTCAAAAATTATCTCAATGTTTATCTTGTCTCCAATAGTTACACAGTTTATAATATTACTTCTTTATGTTATATTATACTTCTATCTGTTCATATTTTTGAAATGTTGATAGCTAATGATGTAAATTGATTGCGTCGAATACTGATGTAGATCATATTTTTCTCAACATGATAAATATACATAATGATCGAGTCTTATGTACAGAAAAGTCTATTACATAAAAAATCGAATAAATTTACAAGAGATGAATAAAATCTAATAACTTTATTGCATTAATGTTTTTTATAATTATAATTTTATTTTATAGAAAGATTTTTACTTTATATTAAAAAAATACAGATTAAAGCCTAAAAATAATGATTTAAAAGGTTTAAAAAAATTTTTTATTTGTTCTTTTGATATCTTTCTTGATGTTTCTGGAACTTTTAATTCTATTGTTTGAAGCTGATGTAGTAGTCACGCTCAGAAATTGTTTAAATTATTCCATGATGATTATAATAGCTATTTCTTCTTTGACTCTTTTAAATTGCGTTTATCATCCGTACGATAAGTTTTAGTTACATGGCCATAATTTAAATCGAAATTCGCTGTATAATCATGTTGATCGCTACGAGCCTGTCTCTTTGGTTTGGCAAGTTCACGCAATCGCTTAGGGCAACGTCTGTTATTGCTAGCAACGATACGGGCATAAGTATCGAGAAGAAATGCCTTCTTATCGTTTTGATGAAACGGTCCCGAGACTTGTTTGCTGTCCACTAATTTACGTACTTGATGCTTACCTGAGGAAATTTGGAATTGAAAGAAAAATCGTAGAATAAAATGACGAGCTACTGGTATAGATAAATAAATCAATAAATCAACTATAATATTATTTATTCCAACTATGTGTCGATTTATGGATTGAAATTATTTTCAAGATCTTACCTGCTGTGGCATTCATTTGTTTTGTAGATGAGGGTGAGGTGTGGGATGTCGATGTTGAACTAGAATCCGATTTCTGTTTCTGTTCAAATAGATTGATTCAATAAATTGTCAAGTATTTGGGGAGTATCTATCTGTTATCTAAATGTACATTTTAACGTTACATTATTACTATATACATTTTTTTATCTTGCAAGATTATTACCTGGAAATTATTGGAATTATTACGCCTATTGATTTGCGTGTTAGATGCTTTTCCCAATTTTTCGTATTTTGACGTATTCATTGATTGAATGTCACTATTCATATCGCTCTATCGTGATCTCCCACAGAAACAATCTGTTTTGCGATTAAGAGAGCTATTTTAATATGCGACGTCAGCAACGTGAAGACTTTTATTAAAATCACATCATTCGAATTATCGGAGACGGATTGAGAATTATTGACTTTAAAAATTTTGATCCAAACTTAAGATTTGCGTGAATTTTTGACAGCCAAAGCAATGATCTCTTTTCCTATTCGTTATTCAATTGTAATTTAAATCTCCAGTTATCATGCGTCATTGTACTTCCGGTGTCCTATTTGAGAAATGTAATACTTTTTGCAAAGTCTAGATTTATACAAGTCTCGCGCTATTTTTTATATCATGTCCCATGTTGATTCTTTTTTATTAGAGATATTATTTTATTGAGTAACGCGTGGAATAATGTAAAAAAAATGCATGAAAAACCTTATAAAGGTTTATTACTAGAAAAAACATTAGTGGACGGTATAAAATATATATATATCAAATTATTTTTTATGTTTTTTATATCATGTCCCATGTTGACTCTTTTTTATTAGAGATATTATTTTATTGAGTAACACGTGGAATAATGTAAAAAAAATGCATGAAAAACCTTATAAAGATTTATTATTAGAAAAAACATTAGTGGACGGTATAAAAAAAAATATATATATATATATCAAATTATTTTTTATGTTTTTCATATCATGTCCCATATTGATATTTTTTTATTAGAGATATTATTTTATTGAGTAACGCGTGGAATAATGTAAAAAAATTCATGAAAAACCTTATAAAGATTTATTACTAGAAAAAACATTAGTGGACGGTATAAAATATACATATATCAAATTATTAAATTACAATAATCCTTAAAATTATCGATAAGACCAGATCGATAACTTTTTCGTATTTGGACGGATACACTTAGAGATATGGCTCCGTTGGACGGACGCAAAGGCAGCAATCGTGCTTAAATTTATATATTCAACTATATCTCTCAGTCATTTGTACTTTTGTAAAAATATACGTGTAAAAAGTATGTATAAAACAATATTTGACTGACATTTAGAATATATCTTTGATAATATTAGTAATACGTAGCAGCGATAAAATATTCTATATTGCTAAATATAGTATGAATAGTGCCAATTGATAAAATATGCTCTATCAGATTCGTTTGTCAGATCTCTTAATCTTCGTTCGTGATCTCGGCACGAATTCTTTTAGAGTATTCGTGTAAAAGCATGCAATTCGCGAACGCGATACTTATCTACCAAACGCGAAAGTAAACGCGATCATAACTATCGTGGCGAACAGGGAGTAACGTATCGCAGACGCGCCTGCGTTACAATCTACGATTCTCCTGGCTCTCATAAAATCCGGGCCGAGGTACGCGCTGTACTCCCGCTTGTTCGACGGGATTACCACCAGCTGCTGAGTGGCATCTTGGAAAATGAGATCGCTGTAAGGCGACGGGCTGTAATACATGCTGAAGCTGAACTCGTCCTGCTCCTTCCGGCCGTAGAACTGTTGTGCGTATATAAACAGATTGATGTACGCGTTGATCTGCGTCTCGTTGTAGCCGTAATAACCGCCGCGCGTGACTACAGCATTGGCGGCGACTTTGCCCAGGTTGCAGTTCATGTAATCCGTCGTCGGGCGTCGCGTGCCGTCCGGGCAAAGCAATTCGAAGTCTTTCGTGAAGGTGTTGCGCGCCCAGAACTCCTTGCGCTTGCCGTCGGTGTTCTCCGCGACCGTCGTGTGTTTCACGAAGGACACGTCGCCGCCTCCCTCCACTAGACATCTAAAGGCACCTGTGTATCCGAAGTAATCCTCGGAAGCGTCTCGTCGGCAGTATCGGTAGCTCACCCCGTGGCACAAGTCGCACATGTTATCGTAAGGCACACCTACAAACGATAAAATAATTGCTTAATGAAATAAATAAAAAAACTTTCACCTTTATTAAAATTCAAAACAGAGCGGTAAATGCAAAGCAATAAATTAAATAAATAAGAAGGCCAAAAAACGAGCACACAATAAAAAAGATGTATAATTTAAAACTTTAATAAAGTCATAAAATGAAATTCTAGAATGTTTCAGACTTCACAGAGTCATCTTCAGCTAGCATAATTGAAAACACGCAGTAAAATACAATAAATAAATGTACTTATTCTTTTATTTATTGTATTTTACTGAGTGTTTTCAATTATGCTAGCTAAAGATGACTGTAAAGTCTGAAACGTTTTAGAATTTCATTTTATTAAAGTGAAAATTTGATTTTATTAAAGTTTTAATTTTTACATATTTTTAATTTGTGTGCTCGTTTCTTGGCCTTCTTTTTTATTTAATTTTTTACTGCTTCAACTTTAATTCATTTTATTTTGTTCTATTAATTTTCAGCTTAGAAAAATTATCAATTTATTGGAATTTTTAGTTAGAACTTTTTTCAGCTTCACCTGTATTGTATTCGGTGCTGAGCGCGCCCGGCACGCAGGACTTGCTAAAGTATTCGGCGGCGGCGCGCACGGAGTCGCAACCGTATCCCCTAATCCACTTGTTGGAGATGAGATACGCCAGCGGGTAAACCCATCCCGCAGCCATGTTGATTCCGGTGTGACAAGTGTATTTGTTTTTGAGATACGTCAAGTCCGTATTGTCGTCCTCCTCCTTCGCGACGGCGACAACGTAGTAGTCCGGTGTACCCAAATTGTAAACTTCGGATATAAATGGAATCAGTTCGAACTGCAGTCCAGCGGTGTAGACGTCACTGGCATCTAGTACAGTTACGTCGGCAATCCTACCGTAAAGAAGACAAAAAAAATTATAACGCCCAGAATATTCATTTCGGATGTATGGTTGAATTTGGTAAAATTAAGATGTGCAAAACATGGAATTAGGAAATAAATATTGGTTGAAGGACAGTGGAAATGTGTATTTTGTGGGGAAGGTAAAGATAGTTTAGAGCATTATGTAGAGGAATGTCAAAAAGTGAAGGAATGGTGTAGACTTAGGAGAGGATAAGGAAGAGGATAAGGGAAGAGTAGGCAGATTATTTGGAGGGGAAACTGGATGAAGACAAAGGCAAAGTTTTAGTAAAACTATGGAAGGAAAGGGAAAAGGACATAAAAAGGAAATAAAAAGAGGGATAGAAGTTCAGTAAAAAAGGAAAATAAGATAAGAATAAAATAGCAACGGTAGGAGCAAAGTAAAGATAAATGACAGGGTGGTGAATGGATTAAGTTAGAAAAGTTAGAGGAAAACCAAAGATAGAAGTAAAGCAATGTAAATATTGTAAAATATAAAAATGTAAAGAGGCAGGAAATAAAAAAAAATATAAATAATGTAAAATATAAAAATGTAAAAAGACAGATAATGTAGAATGTAAGTAGTAGGAGAGATAGAAGAGTAGGGAAAAGAGTTAGGAAAAGATATGGATGGATAAATGAAAAGAATTTTTTGTCCCCTTCTTGGATATGTGTAAATCTGAAATGAATAAATTTCTATTCTATTCTACATGTATTAAATGTAAATTATTTTATACATACCCGTTTTGTATCAACTGCATACAATTTATTTGGCTGTGGCCTCTGTGACAAAGTAATTCTGGTTTCAGCAATTGGGCTTTTAAGGCGATCTACAACAGACAATAAAGATATTAAAATTAACAACGTTTAAATGTAATTTCTGAAGTAACGCAAACATTCATTTTGTTAAATACGTAATCTAAACTGTACCTTCATCTTTACGCATTTTTCCATTTCTGGTTCGGACGTAACGCATAATGTCATCCGATTTACGGGACAATGATGTACGCCTAATACATGATCGATAGATCTTCCTAAATACCCGGTGTACGTTTGATCTTTTTCGGACACTTGTACGAAATCGCGAGCAGAATCCTAGAAAATGAAATTGACGTTGATGATACCTTTTCATACTGACGCTCGACGTTCATTTTTAGCGTCAAAACAGATCACATAATCTAAATTGACGAATACCAAGCATCAATTTTCATCATGTACGATCTGTTTTGACGCTAAAAATGGGCATCGAGCGCCAGCATGAAATCGTACCTTTACGAATAAACTTCTAAATTCGCTCTAACTTAATAATAAATCAGGGATGCCACAGAAAATGAATTTTGAAATTCCCTGAGTTTTTCATGATTTCCAGACGACAGTAGAAAATTTTCCATGATCAGTATCAAATATATATAATTCTAAATTTTAATGTTTAGAAGATACATATTACAAGAAAAGTAACTTATATTATTAGAAAGAACATAAATTTAGAAGTTTAATAAAATAATATAATCGCAAATGCAGATTCACGGATAACCTGGAAAAGTCAGGGAAAGATAGAAAGAGCATAGAATTTTGAACTTTGCTCTTTAAAAGGGATCCACCCCGATTCTGTAACTCTTAACAGTCTTAACGACAGTTCGATATCGTTATATTTTTTGTATGATTACTTTTTCTGATTTGAAAATTCTTTTCCAGAATTAAACAATAGAAAATAACAGAATAAAATGATTTTGTATGAAAATCGAACGAAATTTTGAAAATTACGATCTTGTTTCGAGACTTCTCTCTGTTATCGCAATTCAAAATATTCTGAATATTTAGTGATATTAAAGAAATTCTGAAAAAGGATTTTCAAATCAGAAAAAGCAATACATACAAAAAATATAGCGATATCGAACTGTTGTTAAGAGTTACAGAATCGGGGTGGATCCCTTTTAAAGAGCAAAGTTCAAAATTCTAGGCTCTTTCATATCTTTCCCTGATTTTTCCAGGTTTTCTCTGATCAGTTTAAACTTTAAATTTCCCTGACTTTTCCCGGTTTTCCAGGTCTGTGGCAACCCTGTAAATAAACGAGAAACACGATAACATTAAGACTTACAGAGAATATTAAATTATGCTGCATTCCGTATCTAGGCGCCGATTCGTACAACTCGAACACTTCTATCGGTTGCACAAACGTAGACTCAGTGGTCGTGTGATCTCTCTCCCTGGTATAATAATTGGTATCGTTATACGCGGGCTTCTCCCACGGATTCAATCCTCCTATCCCTCCTCTTCCGCCGCCGATGCTTCGATTGTATCCGCTACGATCCCAATTGTCCGTGGAGTATTCGTCCGGACTTCTAAATCCGCCTCTGTTATAATCACTCTCGCCATATCTGTTGTAACCCGGACGGTTCTCGAAGTCCCTCGGATTGTTGTCGTAACCCGGACGGTTCTCGAAGTCCCGCGGACCGCTGTCGTAACCCGGACGGTTCTCGAAGTCCCGCGGACCGCTGTCGTAACCCGGACGGTTCTCGAAGTCCCGCGGATTGTTGTCGAAACGATTGAAGCTGGTCGTGCCGTTCCTGTCCTTGTGCAGTATTCGAACGGTCCTCTCCAAAAATCTCTGATACTTTCGACGAATGTCGAAGTTGGTCGCCGAAGACGTGACGATCGCGCGGGACGGCACGGTGCCCCAATTGCAGACTCTGTAATCGTCTACGGGTCTACGAGTACCGTCTCTGCACAACAGTTCGAACTGATCCTTCTTCACGGAACCTAAAATAACAGAGAATTGTAAATCGAATATCCTGCTGATTTCTTTTCTTTGAAAAATTTTTACTTGTTCGCTTGCTGAGCGTTGAAAATGTTTACGTACTAAAGTCGAATGTCGTCGAAGTCATCTCCTCCACGGTCGTGTGCACCAAGAAGGCGATTTCACCCGCTTCGACCAAGCAACGGAAGGCCCCCTCGTATCCCGAGTAAGGATCCTGGTTCGTACACTTGCCGCCGGGTACTTTCCCGATGCACAGGCTGCACAACTGGTCAGAATTGTCACCTGCAATCGATTTCCCAGATTATGACAACTGCAGGATGGAAATGCGTCTATACTTTCAGCCCGTTCCTTGTCGCTGCACCGGACTGCACTAAAAAAACTTTCTATGGGTGCGTTCCATTAAACGCTCGCAACACTTTTTGGAATCATTTCATCCTTGTTGTTTATCACACGATAACTAAGGACAAGCATAATGCTCGCGAGCGTTAAATGGAACGCAGCCTACATCACTCGCTTTCGCCAAACTTCAAGTATATCTACTTCATTTTAAATATTAATACACTTTAGTTTAGCTACCAAGAATTTGGTGTATCCTTACGTTAAACTTACCAAGTGGATTGTATTTATCAATTAAGGAGTTTACCGCGCAACTAGGTCCAAAGAATTTAATCGTCGACTTTACGTGGTTGTTACAGTCGAGAACTTCCATTCCTCCGTGCTTCATGAGCTGAACAAAAAATACATTTTATTGAATAAAAATTGTAATTACATTGTGATGGTTTATATCCAGTACCGGTTTAAGAGGGAGGGGGGGGGGCTAAGGGAATTATAGTCCCAGACCCCATCTTTCTAGGGGGTCCCTCATAAGCTTAAAATTATTAATTTCAATAATAAAAAATAAATATCAATCCACAATGATTGATATTAGACTATCGTCATTTAGCATTATTAGCTATAGAAAGCGAACTGCTGAGAAATCTTGATTTTAATGATTTAATCAATGAATTTGCGTACAATAAATCAAGAAAAAAAAGTTTTAAGTATCACTGTAATTTCAATAAAATGCGAATTATTTTTATGTGTTTACTTTTCAGAGCTGCCTTGTATCTTTTCCAAAGCAGAAACAAAAGTCATACGAATAATCACGTTTTTTAAATAGCAAATGCAAAATCTGTATGTATCTCCAATAATAAATTATAAGACTTCAATAAAGATAAATAGGTAACAAAAGGCACTAAGAGTCAACACGCAGAAAATGTTGCGTTAAAACTTCGAATAAAGTTGTATTCCATAAATTAAATTACATCTTCTTACATATCGTACGTTTCGGTCCACTTCAGAGCTTCTTCAGCGATGAATACCTAGAGTCCCGCCAGAATTATATTACGTTTTTGACAATTGCGAACGGAAAAATAATGTAATTTTGACGGAACTTTACGTATTCATTGCTGAAGATGGTCTGAAGTGGACCGAAACGTACGACATGTAAGAAGATGTAATTTAATTTATAGAATACAACTTTATTAGAAGTTTTAACGCAACATTTTCTGCGTGTTGACTCTTAGTGCCTTTTGTTACCTATTTATCTGTATGTATTTAAATCATTATTACTTGATAATAAGAGGGTCCCGTTTTAATATTAGCCCCTGGGCCGAAAAATATCTTAAGCCGGCTCTCTGTTTATATCACGCAATCTACGAATTTTAGCTCACAGTGTTAATGGGGATGACCCAGCCGGCGAGCGTGCCGACGCCGGCGAAGCAGCCCTTCCTGCCTCTGAGATCGTGCAAAGTGTGCACGTCGGGCAGGGAGCCCCTCTTGATCACCGCGACGGCGTACTGATAGTTCACGCCGCTCTCGTATATCTCCTGCATTATCGGCACGAGACTGTGGTATCGGCCGGCCACGAAGACCTCGCCGGCGTCCAGCGTCGTTATCTGGGCGATCTCGCGGTCCAGCATGGTCATGCATTCCTCCTTGTTGAACGCCTGCCTGCACCGCACCGAGTAGTAATTGTAGCCGAACGCCCCGATCTCGCGATCGACCGCCCTGGAGAAGGCCTGGCACTTGTTCTGCTCGCCCTCGGAGACCGTGCACCACGTGACCGTGCCATTGTTGTTGAGGTATTGGCCTGCCGAGGGAAACAATTGATCAATTCACGGCAATTGTAGCGAGTTGATTAACGTGCGGCACACAACGCTCTCGGCTCTACGTTTCCAACATTTCACATTCCTAAAAATGCGAATAAAGTTGGAACACGAGTCGATGCGAGTATCGTAATTGAAATAAGGGACAGATGAGATATATATATATATATATATATAATAGTATTATTGTTGAGATTAATTTTTAAACCACCACGCCCAAAAAATCGCACTAATCACAATGTCGGTCTGACAGACCGCTATTAAGCTCTCGCTAATTTTACAAGTTAATTATAATAAAAATGTACGTTTTCTGAATACACCTGTTGATGGGGAAAAGGAAAACATATATGTTTTAATGCGAGGGTTAACAAAACGATCTCATATACATAATAGAAATAAAATATATTTAAATGGTGACGAATAAGAAAATTGTTGACAAGTAACGTTTCATTAGCGGTCTGCAAGACCGATACAGTGGTTTTTAAAGGTTAAAGGTAATCAATTCGATACACATTGTATTGCTGTCGAGATTAAAGGCAATTAATTTGATATATATTACTATATTGCTGTCGAGATTAAAGGCAATTAATTTGATATATATTATTGTATGGTTGCCGAGAGATTAAGGGCGATGAATTTGATATAAGATAATAATTAATTCGAGAAACAAATATTCGCAATTTGACGCTCGCATCGCCAGGCACGGCGTGCGTTCTACGACTTGCGGGCGTCGATCTCGCTTTCGCGACGTTCGCGAGGATTAAAAAAAAGCGCGTTACGTACCGTGAATTTGATGTAACGCTAAACAGCCCAGTAATAACACCCAGTAATACTGGAGCCACATCTTTCCCTTGGGCATCAATTTCGAGTCAATCGCGCACGGACAACACCCTTGACATGACTACCACTCCGGATTGTATTATAACGAACTACGCGGACTACACCCAGTCCCCCAAACCCAACCTGCACAACGCGCGCGTGACGTAATCCATTCGTTGAACGAGGATAGAATAAAGTTGATTCGACGCTGGGTTCGTTCGTTACACAATCAGCTGCTGCACTTGCTTCGCACTTGTAGACAGACGCGTGTATTTGGAGGAAAAAAAAACATGGAGGAAGGTGTCTGTGCTCAAAATATAAAAGAGAAAAAAATCACGTTGCAAAAATAGAGCAACAAAACTGCAGTTAGGAAAAACAGGTTTGTTCTTTGCTGATGTATTATTTACCCTTTCTGTACTTAAAGTGAAATAGATAACATTAGGACGTGTGAGGAAAAAAGAGAGGAAAAAAAGTTTAGACACAAAAGAACAAACCCAAGATTTAGTCTTTTTGCATTTAAAATAAACTTAAAATTAAGAAAGTATATAATTTATATTTGAGAAGAAAGAAAAATTATAATTATAGTACAAAAAAATTCTGTAAAGAAAACAAATTTTGGAATTTCTAACCTCTATCCTCTCATTTTTTTGTCTAATAATTCTCAAAAAAGCGGCGAATAACGCAAAAAGTTCGGTTATAAAAAAATAAATTTTACGCGGTACAATTTCTTTATATTTTTACACGTCAAATGAAATACAGTTATTATATAATTAGAAGTTAAAAATAGTACGAAGGATAAAAACATACAAAAATGTCAGTTGCAAAATCTGTCCTCTTCTCTTTTTCAATTACATATCTCCTTTTTTGTATCCCCGGACAAGGGGAAGTACGACGCGGTACAACGAACAGACCTCCTCGGCGGGATTTCAGAACGTATCCGGAATGTGCAGCTAGCACGAGCACGCGAGTCGGCGCAAGGTGTGATCGCGAGTGGCGAGGCCGGGGGATAATATTCGCGAGCTGTCAAGAATTGTTGCGGCACGTCTCGCCGCGGGATGACACGCGAAATGGCATGAACGGCGTACTCTGGTTACTTACGTTCGAGCGAGGATCGAGCTCCTGGAACACGACGATGCACGACAGATCGTTTACGCGGGCCGGACTGTTACGTGATGATCGCGAGGTCGCGAGGGACGTGCGCGTCTCGCGCGGAGACACGACGATCGCGGAGCGACTCCGTCATTCGAGCTAGTGCGGCGACCGCCGACTACGTCGTGCCTCGGCGAAGAAGCGTTGTTGAGTGAACAGAGTTGGATCTGCACCGCTGGATGTGCGCCTGGACTTGCAAAACGCTGAGACACGCGTCTGGACTTTGAAGTCCAGGAAACACCGAAGGAGAACCCCCTTTGAAGTCCAGGAAGCACCAGAGGTACTCCGATTCGGTCGAATCGTAAATCCTAAGGCGATTAAGAAGGAGAAGAGCAGGCTGAGGGAGCAGCTCGTCGTGCACGAACTCTGGAAGGAACTCTCTCTCTTGAGAGAGATTTTGCGACGTCTGTGTCGACAGCCCTTTGAAAAGGGATACGTCCCTCATGAAACACTTGAAATACTTCACGTCAGAATATCCAGTTGAAGTTGCATTTGTCAATCAGCAGCTGCAAGAGAATCATTTTAAGGATTGCACTGTGAGTTACATTTGTTTAGTTTACACCGTACGACTCGACCTATACCTTGATTCTAAAGTATACCTTTAATTAAACATTTATATCATGTAGACCAAATTGGACCTGATTTAGTCCTCATGTGAATGAATGTGAATGTCATCTATTGAATTATACATAGCTGTTTTAGTCTATACGCGTTATGCATTATATCGTGCGACCCAAAATGGGTCAAGGATTATAAAAAAGAGACCTGACCCAAATCAGTTTGGGTCACTTCACAATTGTTTACACTGTCACGACTTATCATGTTTAGGTGAAATATAAGGTAAAGGTCGTGGACATTAAACATACCGTGTAAACGTGGTTGTTATCCTTAGGCAGGGGTCGGTCGTTTTTAAAATAACATTATTTAAAATATATATTTTAAATCAAGAAAAGTAAAAGAGTTATTTAGTATTATTTAGTAAGTATTTATTATTTTAAATAGCTTCTTTCGATCTATTTCTTATTTAATATTTTAAATATGTTTTTGGAATCTATTTTATATTTATTAATTTTAAATAAGTTGTATTAGTCCCTGCGATATTTTATTTTAAATAAGTTGTATCAGTTATTTTATCGACCTCCCCCCCTCCTCTGTCCTTAGGACTCACCTCTTTCCACTACAATCGAGCACTTAAAATTCTCCGATAATAACTGGATAACTTCTGTTTTTCAAGGAGGAAGAAATGCCACCGGGAGATATCGGTGGAACGTTAAAACAGCACTTGCCTACCAATTAACACTTGCAATCTGTATTTTATGAGATAATCTTGCCGCAAACATTATTCAGGATGGATAGCATTTGGAAGAGCACGAGGTTTAAGTATATCTTTGCCTGCATCTTCATCACCTTCGTCACGTCGTGTATAATCAGCATATCTCCCATCAGTATCGGTAAGTCGACTTTATTGGAAAATGTAGCGTTAAAACGTACCATCGAAACTTCGGCGTTTTTCTTAAAACGTGATTTTGTTATTTCAGACGAATGCAAGTGCGAAGCAAACACTCAGCCGAGTCAACACCTCAAGCAAATGGCCGACGAGATTAATGGACAGAAAAAGAAAGCGGAGCATCGATTGGCCATACTAGTGCCATTTAGGGATCGCTTTGAGGAATTACTGATATTCGTACCGCATATGCAGAAATTCCTGGACAAGCAGAACATAGATTATCATATATTTGTATTAAACCAGGTATATTGCACTGTTAGAACTTTCGCTTGTGAGCGAAAGAGAACTTGTGGACATTGAAGTGTCATTTGAATCTCATGCGTAACGTTTTTTTCCCAGGTGGATAGATATAGATTCAATCGAGCGTCTCTCATAAACGTAGGCTTCCTCGAAACGGAGAAAGCATTTGATTACATTGCAATGCACGATGTAGACTTATTGCCTATGAACGATCAATTATCGTATGCATATCCAAGTACAGGACCTCATCATATTTCGTCGCCAGACTTACATCCCCGGTATCATTATTTTACCTTTATCGGCGGTATATTGCTCATCAAAAGGTACGTTTTATTTAAACTGCAATAATAAATCACAAAAAGAGATGCAATACATGGGCTTTCAGCAGAAAAAGTAACGTTACATATTTAAATCCGATAAGGAATTAAAGGCGAGAACTGATCATATTAAAAAAAAATTTTACAACAAATCTTAAATAAAGCCGCTTTTTCTGTTGAACACAGCCAATGATCTGTTTACTACTGTTGATTGTATGCACTTTTGCAGAGAGCATTTCATACAAGTGAACGGGATGTCGAACAAATATTGGGGATGGGGTCTCGAAGACGACGAGTTTTACGTTAGACTGAAAGAGGCCGGCCTGAGCGTCAGTCGACCGCAGAATATATCAACAGGAACGCACAATACATTTAGGTATCATTTTGAGACTTTGTGAATTTCTGTATTCATCTCGTAAAATATCGAATGAAACTAGATTGGAAGTTGCAACGTTCGGCCCCCAATTGTTACACGTGGTAAATATGTATTACAGGCATGTACACGATAGAAATCACAGAAAGAGAGATATGACGAAGTGTTACAATCAACGGGAAGTTACCAGAAAGCGAGATCGGCAGACCGGCTTGAACAATGTCTCGTACAAAATACTCGATACAATCAAGATGACTATATCAGACACTTCCCTAACGGTGATCAACATCTCTCTGCTCTGCGACAAATCGAGCACACCTTGGTGCGAATGTGAGAAATTAGTCGGGACAAAGGATCAGGGGCGGTCGAAGGAGAAAAAGAAGACTAATAACAGTAAACTCGCAACTGGATTGTAATTATAATATTAGTAATTTAATTGTTGAAGATATAAATGTACTCAAAAACACAATCTTCACATTCTTCCATTTTTTTATGTATACTCAACTTAGATAAAAATAAAATAGTTCCCTACAGCTCATTCATACATTGTTCATATAGGAGATTCTGTTTATAGTACAAATTATTTATATATACATATATTTTAAATGCTTTATATAGTAATATATCAATCTATTGAAATTTTGTTAGAAAATCGATATTCACGCAAAAATTGTTGCTAAGAATGTACGTCGACAAATTATTTGAATATAAATATTTCTATAGTTGATTATTTCATCATTTATTTCACCATAAATGATTATCCTTTTCTAACTGTTTTATATATACTAATTTAATTGTACGCGTCAATTTTGGTATTTTTCTTTATAAATGGCATATTTATATATACATATATTTTAAATGCTTTATATATAGCATAAATTTATTGAAATTTTGTTAGAAAATTATCAAGATTGTTTAAGCAAAAATTGTTATTAAGAATGTAAGTCGACAAATTATTGGAATAAATATTTCTATAGTTGATTATTTCATTATTTAATTTCACGATAAATTATTATCCTTTCCTAACTATTTTGTATATACTAACTTGATTGCACGCGTAAGTGTTGGTATTTTTTTTGTTTGTAAAAAAATGGCAATGGTCCGTAGCTTCTTATATGATTTTCTTATAATTCCGTGTGCCTCTGCATGATTTTGCTCTCCAGATCCGTATGCAGTTTTTGTACAGTTCTAACGTGTTTCTTTATGTGTTGTTCTGCAGTTGAATTTTCTGAATCGTGGAGCTGCCCTTTCTGTGCTGCTTCCAGAGCTCCTTCTGCATGTAAATGTCGCAGCTTAAGTAGCCTCGATTCGTAATGCAAAAGTTCCTCCTGCAACATGTATCATATATTGAGATGCGTTCAGTTTAATTTAACAATCTAAATTGTGAAAATTTTGCTAATGGCTTTCTTAACATTTACAAGAACAAGTTTGTGGATCTTTAACTAATTATAGCTTAATATTTAACTAATTATTCTCACAGATAGATACAAAGAGAATATATATGAGAATTAAATTATTGCTATTATTATTATTATTATTATTATTACTATTGCCCCACCTTTAAAGATGATAATTCTTCAGGAGAGAATTTTGCTTCCAGCGCAATCTTCCATAATCCTTGCACCTTAGGTTCTACAAATTCTTTATGGTTTGGTCCCTTTGCGGTGAGTCTGTCTAAACGATCTAATCCATTTCTCAGCTCCAAATGTTTCTCCCTGAACAGAAATAGGAACAGAAATATAAAACAGAATATAAAAGTCAATTTATACATACATATATCTTTTATAACACATAATCATACCGAAGTAAATTTGCCTTTCCCATGTGACTTAATTTCTGATCTGGAACATCGTTAGACAATTCCTCTTGAGTTTCTAACTCGTTCCAACTTTCCGATTTAAAATGTAACATATCTAAAAGTATTAATACAAAAACGTAAGATATAAAAATTAAATTTTTAAAGTTATATATACTATATGTGGATATAAAAGGCTAACTCTCAGACTTCTCCGAATCTTTGGACTGCTCTTTCAATAAACTCGTGTACTCGTCCACTTTTTCTTGATGATGTTGAAACTCTTGTTTTAAAGTGTCGAGCTCCTCATCTAAAAATAATCATAGAAAAAAAAAATTAAATTCTTGACAAGATATACATCGATTGATGTAAACTTGATGCGTACCGGTAAAACCAGCCATTTCAGCTTTAGCCCACAATTTGTTGAGTCTCATATCCTTAAATACATCCTTGGCAACATAATTGCTACCATCGTTCAGCGCTTTGTGTATTTTAAGTAACTTTGGATCTTCGGTCTCGGCGAAATGTTCCAGTAGGCCGTATGTGCTCATTATTCCTTTGATGGGATAAAGTTACGTGAAATTAGAGAACTTAGATAGATTATATTAGAGATTGGAGATGAACGAGAAGAGGCAATAGAAGAATAGTTATAGACAACACAAAAGTTACCGATAAGTTTCTGTCTCAGGCGCGCCTCTTCCAAACCATCGGGATCCTTTCCGTCGGACTTGAAATGCTTGTATGCGATCTCCTCTTTGTCGTGAATCTTCAGATCGCTGAAGATCGACTGCAGCTTGGTGTCTGTCAGACGCTGAAAATATTTACATGTAAATAATTAGAAATGAGATAACAATACATATATATATATATTTATTTATTTATTTAAAGATGTTTAGTACCTACAATAGTAGCAAAAAGTTAAAGGACTGATTTTGACGAATATGCTCTTCTCATATAGGGTAACTGTCCCTATTAGTGTGCCCTGAACCTATTAGTGTGCTTTTATATTTAAATA